TCTGGAGGCAAAAAAAAATGCTGTATTCAGTGTATAAGACGCACCCAGATTTTCAGCCTCTTTTTTGAGGGAAAAAGGTGCGTCTTATACTCCGAAAAATACGGTAAATCTTTATTACATCCAGACAGGTCAGGGCCCTAGAAGAAAGCTGAAAAGGAAAGAGAGGAAAAGAAACAAACAGTTGCTTCCCAAAGAGATTGATCTTGGTCAGTTCTTCCCTCTGTCAGGCTTTCACACAAAGAACTACCCACAAGGATAAATGTCCATATTATACATTGCAGTTAGTTTCACTGATCCTAGCCACAGCATTTGCAGTGGGAAACAAAAGAACCAAGATAGTGGTTGTGGAATGGTGACCAAAGCCCTCATTCTTTGTATGTGCATTTGTTTTTCTTGGGGTTCTACTTTCTCCATCCATTTCTGGCTGGATAGGCCAGCTGGTTTTCCTTGCCGAATCTGGAATAGAAGGTCCCTATCTTCACAACATCTAACAAGTTGAACATCCAACAATTGAAAGAAGCTGCGTTTGACAGGGTAGCATGGAGGGCACTTGCCTATCAAGTCGCCAAGAGTCGGATGCGACTAAATGGTTAAAACAACAACATCTTCGCAACAGACTTCAAAACGGAATGTCTCATGATGAAATTATACGTTCTAGGGCCAATGAAGTTGCCCAAAGGTCTTGAAACTGCATGGGATCATAAACGTGTGTTGCAATTGTGGTTGTGGAGGAAACCTTCCCACTCAGTCTCTTTCTTGCAGGTGCTGTCTGTGCCTCATCGCCGGTTGGTCTGTTGCAGCCGCCTTTATGAAGTGACAGATGTGAACAAAGTGCAGAAACACGCTGCCCACCAGAGAGAAGTTTTTCTCTTCAATGACCTGCTGGTGGTGAGTCAAAGTTAAATCTTTGACTTAAGAATTCAGTGCAGTTTAGAAAAAGGTCAGAGGACCCCTGTCCTAGGATCTGGATTTTAAATGCACCTCTCCTTACGGAATTCCCTCTGAGTCAAAAGCTAGCACAGCTGGAAGAACATTATGCTTTCATTCCCATTCATAGGATCCAAAGTCCTGTTGGATCCAGGGGAGGGTTCCGGCAGAGACTACTGCCAGTTCACTCAAGGACATGACCCGCTTGCACGCATGCTTGAGGTGTGCTGTGCATGCATGCACGGTACAACTAAATTTGCTCTGTGTATGTGCAGAAGCAAAAAACAAGATGGCGGCGACTACAGCGCCACCAATAGAACAGGTTTGGGGGCGTGGTAGGCCTGAGTCGCTGCCGGTTCCAGCAGCCTAGGCCGCCAAGCTACTACTGGTTCGGCTGAACCGGTCCGAACCGGTAGGACCCCACCACTGATTTGATCTGTGCGAAGGAAGTTCAGGAGACCAGTCCTGTAACTTCCCACACATATTCAGATAAGTATGCAATTGTTTGCAGCTGCCTAATATTTTATGTGGCATAATACCTCAGAGCTTTCATGGCTGTACTGAGGCCAAACACCATTTGGCAGCCAGTGAAGTTGATTGAGATGTGGAGTGATGTTCCAAGCCGTTCCTCTCTTGTTGAATAGTTGCAGCTACGCGCTAAGCGAGCCAAACATTTCTCAGAAGCAGCCCTGTGTAGGTTTTTCCTTCACTTGCATACAACCATATTCCCACACCAGAATAGCCTATTTTTGTGGTATTTCCTTATAATTTTGTGACATTTCCTTATAATCCCTTACTAGCAATAGCAATAGCAGTTAGACTTATATACCGCTTCATAGGGCTTTCAGCCCCCTCTAAGTGGTTTACAGAGTCAGCATATCGCCCCCACAGTCTGGGTCCTCA